CCGAGATGCGGGATAGATGTGCGCGGCGCCCCGGCGCTCACAACGAGCCCGAAAACCCCGCGGGGAGCGAGCCGGGGGACCGGAGCTGCTCGGTGTCCGGGTCCCGCTTGGATGTGCGCGTGGAGCAGCAGGAGAACCGAGCTGCTGGCAGAAACAAAGACCCGCGCAGACCGGGACTCTCCGGACAATGAGCCGCGGCGCTTTAACGCTGCCCGTGATGCGGTGCCGAGACCCCCCACTTCCCTCTACACACCGAGTTCAGGGGGAAAGACGCGAACACCGACTTTTCTTCTCCACCTCAGACTCCACAGAGTCCGAGCGAGCGCGAAGCGACGACGGAGAGGTTTTAAATGTAGGTTAGAGCCTGGAGAGCTTTATTCTTGTAGGGGGCTCCGCGGAGACACGGCCCCGCGAATGGAGGTGTGCGGCGGCTTACCTTGGCAGAGATATCCGAGCCGGAGTCGACCTGTGTGTCTGCCATTGTTTAGTAGAATAAAATAAAGGACGGCTGAAATGAAAGGTTGAATAAAGTAAATCCCCTCGTCTCGGTTAGCGGATCAATCAGTATTATATTGTGCCAGTGGCCAACGCTTCTGACGGCCGAGCCTTTAATATAGGCTTGTAGGCGGGGTCTTCATGAGGTCGGTGGTCTCTGATTGGCCAGGGGCTCGGCAGAGGTGTTCTCCTAGCGCGTAGAGTAACAATGGATAGAGTTTCTTAACCCAAAGGCCACGCCCCCTCCTTTTCTATCGCTGCAACCGTCCCTTTCTCCCCTAAAACAATAATCAGAGTCGATAAAAGCCCACAAAACGGACCGGAGCCGGAACCGTAGCAGCTCAACAGCACCGTGAGCGCAAGAAAATCGAGTTTCCGTCGAGTTACGCAGTAAATATGTCGAATCGAGAGCGCTTCGGTTGACGTAGTGTCACTTTGATTGATTGATGTGCGTCTGGACGAGTCAAGCGGCGACTTCAGACGGTTTCTCCCGCCCACCGCCGCGACGGGGGAATAGAGGCGAAGTGTTTGGGAGGGAAACGTGGACGACACGGATGTTATTACGGATTAAATCGGGCTTTTCTCCCCAAAAGTTAGTGTCACATCTCAAGCTCCATGCGAACAACATCAGTCAGATAAAAGGCGCTAAGAGTGCGAATGTGGAGCGGCGCCGCCATGTCACATCGCAGCTCTTCGTCGCCCCGCCCCTTCCCGGCGTCCATGTTTGAAACTCATCCCTGTATGTGCGCACTTGACACTCTTGAGGGCTTTTTTTTTTTTACATAACAGCCCATAAATTCGTGCGCCAAGGTCGAGACACAAATAAACACAGTGCCCGTCGAACAACACACACACAGCCGGCTCTGACGCCGTGATTCGGGCTGTTCGGGCTCAGTGAGCGGGTGCAGTGAACAGTGCTGGTGGCCTCATTTCCTCCGCCTCCATTGTTAGGACCCACAGAGAAATGCCCCGCCGTGGAGGAGGGAAAAAAAGCAGTGCGACATAAAAGACATGCGATGAGAGAAGTGCGGAAAATAATTATAATGTGCTCATGAACTGACGCGCATTCTTATGAAACACAAGGGCAAACACGTATTTTCCTTACCGACTTTTGTACACATGGCTTTTACAAGCTGAACTGAGAAGGACAAAGCGGCACGCAAAAAAGGGTAGCCGCCATTGCTCAGTGGAGATGGGGGATGGGAGCAAAGTGTGCTCCGGTAACAGGCAGCCCACATTCACATTCTACTCTGATGACGCACTTGGCCGCAGAGGACGCCTCCGATTGGTCGATTAAGTGGAATAAACACGGCTTTGGCGCACGGCAGGCGCTGATTGGTTACCGCCGACGTCCGTCAATTCGAAACTAGGCTCAGTCGGCTGGCGGTAAAGAGCGGACCCGGATGCTGGATCCGGACTGTGCTTCCATCAGTGTAGAGTTTCAGTTCTGTCTTTGACATGTTTGATTTCCCAGTTGTTGCCTTTTAGTTTTAGCGCCACGATCTCTGAGGGACACACTCATTATGCTTAATTGTTTGGAAAAGCCGGGCTCTTCATGTTTCATTAGGCTGTATTATAAAATATTTAAACAGGTATCAGAGAGAGCAGATGGAGGCGGTGATCCTTCAACAGAACCAAACTCTGTCTCCCTGCTGCATCCATCTAACCACGTTTTGAGTGTGTGGAAAATATGAATTTGCTGACATGCACCTGCAGCGTGTCGACCTGTTTATGTGTTGATTTTGAACTTGTGCATTAAAGCCCAACTTTTATACTGTGCATTACATTCATATACTGAATAAAGATGATGGATGTAGCTAATGTGATGAGCCATCTCTTACTGAATCGTCCAGAAGCGTCTTGGTGTTGAAACCAGACGAGAAACTTGATACTGCCAGGAGTTATAAGTCACATGCTCGTACCCCGAGTCATTGTCGTTTTTGACTCTAACAGAGAGCGTTAATTAAAAAGGAACATTATATGGTATTGATTGCGACCATAGAGGCACCAGAAAGTCTTTAATGAGGTTATAGATTGGGAGAGCCAAAGGTCAATGTGTCAAAGACTTCTATACAACTA